AATGTACAGTCATTTAAAAGTCCAAGTCAATAGACATAATTTATGCGCTGTATCGAGTCTGTGGGCCTAAATCATGGGACTCGGTCTGTCTTTGATTAAAAATACAACACAACTATTTTTCCCGTACAAATCATTTTGGTTGGTTAATATTGATGAGCACATAAATCTCCAGTAATTGATAAGTCTAAGTCAATAGACATACTGCGTGAGCTGAGTCTAGTCTGTGAGCCTAAGTCATGTAACTCGGTCTGTCTTTGATAAAAAATACAACACAACTATTTTTCCCGTACAAATCATTTTGGTTGGTTAATATTGATGAGCACATAAATCTCCAGTAATTGATAAGTCTAAGTCAATAGACATACTGCGTGAGCTGAGTCTAGTCTGTGAGCCTAAGTCATGTAACTCGGTCTGTCTTTGATAAAAAATACAACACAACTATTTTTCCCGTACAAATCATTTTGGTTGGTTAATATTGATGAGCACATAAATCTCCAGTAATTGATAAGTCTAAGTCAATAGACATACTGCGTGAGCTGAGTCTAGTCTGTGAGCCTAAGTCATGTAACTCGGTCTGTCTTTGATAAAAAATACAACACAACTATTTTTTCCATAATAACTACTACTATACTATAACTAATACTATTTTTCCGCGGGTGGCCGCGGTTATAATTGTACGTCGTGGAATCAAAAATGTAAGTAATTTATGAGAAAAATATGTAATTCATGGGGAAATTATTTTGGGAAAAATATACACGTAATTAATAACTGAACTTCTGTGTTTTTCATTTCGCCCTGTATGATAGCTGCTATGACGCACCAACAGCATTCACAGTCACTCCCACCCCACCACTCGCCCGCGTCGGAGTCTTGCTACTCTGACCGGTGCAGTGGTGGGGTCGGAGTGACTGTAGTTGGGGGGCGCCATAGTAGTTCCCATACTACTAATGATTAAAATGAAGAATAGCAGTAATGTAATTAATGCTAAGTAATTTACGTTTAGACATCTTGAAAAATGCAATGGAGCAATCACCGACAACACCAATAGAACATAAATAAATTGAACAACTTCACACAGAATATCCTTTTTTCATTGAAAAGAACAATTGATATACGATGAAAAAATAAAAAATAACAAACCAACGAGTGGCGCAGTTCTCACATTATTGATCGAAATGTGATTATTATAAAACCTATAACTGTATCGACAATAACTGAGACCCATGACTTGAACGTAGCTTAAATCAATGACAAATCTGTAAAACGCAAAGCTGATGAAAAAGCAAATTTCGATAAATAAAAATCCGTTGAACGAAAATATAACTACTGATGATCATTGAAATTGAATGGTCCGAAAATATTTTCGGATAATGCTGCGTTGAATGACATTTAAACCACGGTGTCAACCAAAGTTCGAAAGAATTTGATCTGATCGTTATAGAACGAAACATAGTACGAAGACAAATTGATTGTATAAAACAAAGATAATGAGGATAATCAATCTAATAAGTAGATGATGATAATTAGATTAAGTTCAGGAGCAAACATAATGGTTTTCGATACCTAATTGAATTCAATGAAATAATATGAAAAGATAAATGTGATATGCAATAAAAAAATGATGTACAAAATGACCATTCGAAAGTATATTGCTAATTTATCAGCAAAAATAACTACACTATATGAAACTAATAGCAATTACCCACTTGTTTAGTTGAATTACATTTAGGGGAAGAAGGGCTAAGGTGACGAACATTTTAATTCCCATAGAAAAATATCCCGTTGAAAACTATTGTATGGAAACAAATGAAACTCAATATTGGAGTAGATTCATATTCATTTTAACGAATGAAATTGACCCCACACTTGTGCGATTTTTTTTCGTTAAGATACAAACCTCCAAACTTTGCGGACTACACTTTGGAAGAGGAGAGTAGTTATTTTTATAGCTAACACGTACTTATTTATTTCTGATTGACATCTACATATGGCAATCTCTTGTGGAAAGTTATGCGCGACCATTTGTCGAAGCTGACGCCACCCAAGGAGACTACACTCGTAGCGTTTGCGGACGAGATACCTCTCGTAATCGCTGCCAAATGATTAGAGGAGATAAATTACACTTTTGATATTACTTATGACAGGATTCGCCGATAGATGTTCTCGGTACGACTGATGTTGGTAAATCACAAGACGAAGGCTGTGCTGATCATGAGCAGACAGAAGATTGAAATCATCACGCTATACGTTGAGAATCATGAGAACACATCCCAGACGTTCCTGCGGTATCTGGGAGTGATGATCGATGCCCAGCTCAGCTTCAGACACTAAGGTGAGTGATGTCTGCTTTAAGGTGTGGGCAGTTAGGACTGTCCTGTCTCGGCTAATGCCGAATATCGGAAGTCCAAAACAGAAGAGAAGAGCATTACTGTCATCGGCAGTTACGTCAATCCTCACACATAGCATTGCCATCTGAGCTGATCGAACTTGATACAGAACGCTTGACGAAAGGTGGCGTCGGTTTACCGGCGGCGCACCCTCAGAATACTCAGCGCATTTCGCAGAGTGTGAAAAAATGCTGTGTGTGTCATTGCCGGGGAGCTGTCGATAGGACTACTGGCCAAGGAACGAAGATGCCTCTATCGCCGAAAGGGGTCAAAAACGCTTGGCTGAGCTGAGCTAAGGACGGATGAGAGGACTAAGAGTCTGCATCGATGACAATTTCTGTGGGATGCTTCGACCAATCGGAGATGAACTCACCGCCTGATCGTGCAATTGAATGCATAGGTCAACCGTACACACTGAGAGGTCAACTTTTATGTCCCACAGATGCTCTCGGGACACAGGTGCTTCAGGCAATATCTTCTCTAGGTTCAAATATGAAGAATCACCGCAGTGTTCGGCCTGCACATGAGTCTCCGAAGATGCTCTCAAGAATGCACTTAGAGGGAGGACCCAGCATGATATTCTGGTGGACGCAATGGTTTCGTCAGAGGCACCCTTACTAAACTAGTGCCTTCGCAGTGGAAGTCGTGAAGGGCTTACGCAAGGCCGAACGGGATAGAAAACAAAACAGGAGGAAGAAGACGAATAACTGAGGGAAAAGAAGCGATGACTTCGACTATTCGAAAAAGCAGTACGGCTGAATCCCCCCCCCCCC